TCCAGTAACTTCCGCTGGCTGTGAGAAATCCTGTAAGGCCTCAAGTGAATAGGTTTACTGTCCCCTGTATCTATAGAATGTTCAACTAAATCTGTCTTCCCTAATTCATTATCACTGAAAGCAAACACTTTTCTATACTTATCTAATACCTTATTAATAGACTTGCGTTCCGTTGCACCTAAATCACCAGATACATAGAAATCATCTATATCTTTCTCACCAGACTCAACACTCTCACTTAGCTCAATCCCATTCAAGTTCTTGTAATTACATGCATCTTGCACACTTTCGCTAGTCGAACTTGCATCAGAAATAAATGACATTCATCATTTATATATACAGAATCATTTGCAACATCAATATAGCATGCACAGTCCTTCAAAATGTCCAAACCTAAAATACAATCATACGGGAAATCACGAGCAACAAATGCATTATATACAACATCGGTTTGTTCACCAATTCTTAGCCTAAAGTCACACTTTCCAACAATATCGACACGGTTGCCCGTTGCCGATGTAACACTAACTCCTCCAGCCGGCACCATACCACTCTGGTTTGCGAATGCTTCATTTATAATCGTGACACTAGATCCGGTGTCGACCAACATCGCAGCACATTTTTCATTCACATATCCTATAATTTTGGCGGTACAAAATTTAGGATTTAACTGACAAGAAACAATATTTTCACATACATTTTTCACATTTTCAACACTTTCTTCACTACTTCCGGAAGAATTATCCTCTTCTCTTTTACGCAACCGGCTGTGTCTAGGAGGGTATATTTTAGATCCTCTAGCCCTTTACCTCCACACAAAAGGGCGGACTTTAGTTTTCCGAATTGGCGTTTTTTTTGTTGCTCATTACAACGGACTGCTATGTGTCCTACTCTACGACATTTGTTGCAGATTGGTCTCCCGTCTGTCGTCCTAAGATTTCGGTCCGGTCTGGGGCGGAATCCGAATCCTCGGCCTCTTCCTCCTCGGCTTCCTCCACGGCTTTGTCCTCGAGACGGAGGAACAAATTGCTGTTTAGATGCGAATCTACCGATTTCAGTCGCCATTACTGACACCTTGGCGGTCAGGTCTGCGAGTGACTTCTCCAGCTCTTCCGTTCTCGTAGGAGCGTACGACATAGACGCCACAGTTCCTCTGGCTATCGGGGCATCTGCCAGGAAGTTGTTACACTCTTCCCTCTTCGCATGCCTGAAAGCTTCCTCAAACGTCTTAGGGTTAGAAAGTAACACATACCTCTTGATTTCGGGCCTTAATCCTTGCACGAAATGCTCTTTAGTGAGGGTTTCTTTTTGCCTCCCAGGCATGTCCATATAGGCACGTGTAGCAAGCTTCGTTATGTTCGCCGCATAATCTTCTACGGTTTGCATCTCTGCCTGTTTGTATCCGAACAAGTTGGAATAATACAGTGATTGGAGTTCTTTAGGAATAAATCTTTCCCGCAGAGCGTCACAAACAGAACGATAGTCATCTTTCACATCGTCGTCTAAAGATTCATAATAATCTGCAGCTTGATCTCGCAGAAATGCAGGTATCGTTATGCATTTTCTTGGTTCGGTCCAGAAATTAGCTCTGGATATTCGATCGAAGTTCTTAATCCACGAATCAAAGTCCTCGTCGAGTTTCCCGTAAAATGGGGTAGGCTTTATCAGGTTGGACGACTGTCTAACTTCAGGCACGGCTTCGGGAATAACATCCTCAATTGGCTCCTGTCTCTTCTTCCGTGGCATCTTCACAGTATTTTACCAAGAGTTAATTTTCCAAAGTAGATGTCGACATAGTTAAGATAATCTAATCCGACCGCTGGCCACCATAATATGTGACGGGGGTCCTCCCTGTCACTGGCACTGGTAATTAATGAAGATTGTTTTTATTTACATCGTTTATTTACATAATTACAACACAAGATATATTTATAAGAAATCACAATGTTCACAATACAAAAACACGTCCACACTCGTTGACTTTCAGATTTATTCTCCTCTCTCTCACTCATGTTCCCAGGGCCCACTTTCTCACACAAATCATTCTAGTGCTCACTTTCATCTCTCAGAACTCTATCACGCACAATAAACAACGATAACAGTATGACAAATAAACAAATTATAAATCCATGCTTGTCCACTCGCTTTCTCTCTAACTAACTAAAATTACACTCTTGGGAAACAGGGCTACAACGCCTGCGCTGCGCACCTGCAACCTATCACTCACTCATTTACAATTAATTAACTAAAATCGGGCGATTGCTCTGTGACACAACAAACAGAATAAAATGAAGGTTGTAAATGATGAAATCAATGGGAAGATCTTTGATCACTTAATGGGCGCGTATAACCCTAACCCTAACCCTGGCGATAACAATCTTGGCAGAGTGTTACACATGCTGACCATTCCCCTGTTGTTCTTGAAAGCTTGCATTGCTACTCAAACTATTTGATGTACAGTGATTCTCTACTTAACACTATTAGTAATTGATTGATGAAATTTTGAACTGAAGCATCTGGGACAAGAAGATGCAAACTAATTTACAATGTAATATGGTCCAAAATATAATCGTTGGATAGGAGTGAAGTATAACACTTCAGCAACATACAAATCTATTTACACAATAAAGAATTAAAAGCGAACTTGAATAAGACATTTTTTTCTGTTTTCACTGCATTTTTGTCAAGCACCGTATTATCAGTTTTTACAATTCTTGGAGCAGGGCAACTATAGGGAAAATATTTGACAACGTGCCTGATGTTTAGGTACTAGTAATTCAATGTCAAGGTATAATTTTACTGAAAATAAGCAATCAACTATTTAACCATAACATGTAAAATGACTTAATCTTTGATACACAACACAGAACGGTGAGATTTATATAATAAGGCATTTTTTTATGGAGAACTGAAGCGGACATGTTCAAAGATGAAAGCACGGATTATACTAAATTTAAGACAAGATCATTCAGTTATGTAAATAAAAGCTCATTTCCTCCTGGGACGAACTACAAGCGTCTTTGGAGATTATGCATGTATCGAAATTTCCACATCGAACTATCTAAACAATTTCATGGAACGACTGCATAAATAAGCCCTGGTTAAATCTAGTACTGTCTGACGCCGTGACGTCAGACAATGATTATTTATCAGTTTTCTTGATCGAGTTATCGATTTCCCCCCCCCCCCCAAAAAAAAATAACTTCAGAACAGTAAAATATTTTTAAGAGTTCCTTGAACATGTTGAACATTTGAAGCAGTTTATTTACATCTATTAAATGACTTCGGTACGATGTTATGATTGACTTACAGTGCTATCATAATTCTAAAGCCGTGGGTCTATAGAGAAGACATATTTCAATAGTTTTTTAAAAATGATACAATGAACTTTATTGCAACTACCAATTAACCGTTACATGGAAGTGTGAAAACAAATTATTTGTCTTTGTTCCGTCATGCGTAAAGTCCAGCGAGGGTTTAGGAGATAAATGATTATGCAAGGTGAAGCCCTAGTAATTATGTGCTCTAACTTTTAGAATTTAAATACGGTAGAATTGTTTGTTAAAGTTTCAGTTTGAGAGAATTTGTGTGTTTAGATCGATTTTCTAATTTTCACAGATCTTACTGTGTCGGCAAAATTTTTACTGTGTCGCATGCATAAAATTTGAATCGTTACTGTGTTGGAGAAAATTTTACTGTGTCGGGAACAACACAGTTAAACAGCTCATGGAGAACCCTGTATGATGCTCTTGATTAAGACAGTTTCGGTAATTGGTCAATTTGTGTAGTTTTTATTCATGTTATTATTGTGAAAACATTGTGTTGGTACCCAACTGTCCCATACTTCTTTGACTATAATTGAATATTTCTGAGCACGATTATCAGTATGTTTGTCATTTTCAGTTATCTATTTATCAAAATTAATTAAATTACTAAACAAACATTGTAAATTACGGACTATAGTTTAGTTTTGATTTTGGTAACAGCATGAACAATGCAGAATGAATTTAAAATCTGCTCTTAATTTTATCAATGATTTATTATGCTTGTGTCATGGTTTTCTCTTTTCTTTCATTCATTTTTTTGTCCATTGAAATTGAATTAAAAATTGTATCATTGTTGCGGTGTTTTTCCTTTGAAGACCACTGTTGATGATTAAAGAATTCTAATAAATGACCCATGACCTTACTCCAAATAGTTAGGGAAAAAGTAAAAACAAAATCATGTAAATATAGTGAAGGAATACCTTCCATAACATAAAAAAAATTAATTTTGCACATCGATTTTAAAATCCCAAATGGAACTCACACAGCACATTGTTAAATGCATGACTTTGACTCTTATAAACTTAAAGAGTAACAAAGCACACACAATGAACTAAAGGAGATGAGATAAAAATATTTGAGCTGCTTGTCTTATCAATTCCAACACAAATCGACACATTCAGTAATTTGGAGAATCGCTGTCTTGGTCAAATGTGTCCCTTTTCCTGTGTGGTATTCCTTGAATGTATAAATTGTCCAATTGGTATTTTTACGAGTGTTAAGATTAAGTGACATAAAGAATTTTCCTTCATAATTTCAGTTTGCACGGAGAATTGCAATAGCATAAAACAACAACTGTCATTCAAGACGTTCAGACTTAAATGGGCGAGATAGTTCTAAAGTTTAAGAAATACAGCGCCCAGTATTTTTGGAATCATTTGCTCCTTATGTGCTCATGTGGTCATATGAAATATGTATGATAAAATTTTGATAGATCATGGGTAACTCAGTTCCTGGGAACAATGAAACAAAATATATAGAGTACCTTTTAACTCATGCATCTTCAGATATCAGACTTGGGGGACAAGCCCCCTCGTCGGATATCTGAAGATATACTCGTTAAAAGGTACTCTCTATATTACATAAAAAACCTGTAGTTTGATTAGGAATCAAGAAAAATGAAATGTCAGAAGCAGAATTCTATGGAATATATGTATGAGTGAAATTTATCGCGATTCAAGTATGTTGCATTCTGTACCGAAACACTTTGACAAGTCCTTCATAGTATCCTACCCACAGTGTAGACTTATACAGGGATAATCTAAGTGGACGGTTCACTTCATTGTCTGTCAGTAAGAACTTCAGAAAGTCCCCGTCAGGACTCAGTAGATGAATCTGTTTGTTAAATAGATCAGCAACAAGGATGTAACAGAGGGAGTCACTGGTCACATCAGTTGGAAAAAAGTCCTCTGTAAGGTTCTGTCCATGGTAGACAGACTTCCTATGACCAGAGGGAGACATTATCACTAGTTCACCTATAGTGTCACTTGTACGGTTCACAACACAGATGTCACTGTTGCTGTTCTGTGTGACTGTGACTGGAAATGTAAACAGTCTGGTGCGGCCGTCCTCCTGGTACTCATACTCATGGATGACATCACCTGTCACTGTGATGTGTCTCACCATACGTCTGCTGTGCGACTCTAATTTGAAATAATCTGATTCATAGTCTCTCAAGGTGACCAGTAGACCACCGTCCACTGACTGACAGATTCCTAATGGTAGCAGTGGATCTGTACTGATGACTGTTGAGACAGATCCTGATGGTGACAGACAGCGGATGGACTTTTTATTAAAATCAGTGAAATAAACATCCCTAGTATCAGTCACACACATGTCATTAGCAGCAATATCATATTTATGTTTTCTCTCACCTTCTTTGTTTACATGTTCAAAGTAAGGTGACTTCTTATCTCCTATGTAACACTGATCTTCACACAATGCCCTCAATTTAACTATTACTTTATCTACATATTTAAATGAGTTTGTTTCAGTCAACCTAAAATCATCTAAATCTAGAGTTTCTCCTATCATATTCTCCATCACCTTAGCACTAATTTCTCCTTTAACGTATCTCACTGAATGTTTGCTGTCCGTTATATCAACATCCGGGCCAGACAGCATTTTCGTCAGTTCTCTTTGGTTGTCAATGAAGCCGTAATCTGACATGGTGCTGTTGTTCTTCTCCATAAACTTTACCATCTCTTCTATTTCTTTCTTCTTTTTGAATAGCTTAGATTTCACTTCATTCAACTTTTTATTTTTCTCCTCTAAATTATCTTTCAATCTTCGTTCATTATTTTTCCTGATTTCTGTCAAACTGGCCATTATCTCATCAACATGCTTTTGAAGCATTATAATCTCTGAGTCACACAGTTTTTTATTTTCTGTGATCTGTTTTGTTACTTTCTCCATCTTTTCATTCATCCCAGGTAGGTCCCCTTCCTTGATCTTTGTCAGAAATTTAAGTAGACCTCTCCTCTTTTCAGTTGCTGCCGTGGGTATAGTGCTCCATTCATGTTCCTTATGATCTGTTTTGGCACACTTGGCACAAATAAATTCATCACAGTCCTCACATAACATATCAATAGGTAGATCGTGGGTTTTACACATTTCAATATGCCCTTGAGGAGAGCCCAGTGGATATTTGGGTTTACTGGCGGCCATGTTTGTTGAATGTCTCCTACCTATGACTTAGATTTAAGGTACAGGTAAGATAGCTATGCTTTGTGAATTGATTTGGACTTTAAACTGATAACGCATTACATGATATGCACAGTGAACAAACAAGTGTGCACAAACAATTGATAACATAAAATGGTTTTAACTTTAAACTTGGTGATTAATGTGAAACTACATTAAATTTTGAAAATATATATCCAGCATTTCATGCATTAGTTCTGAGGCATGCATCTTTGCTGGCAAAAGAGGTTTATGTCCCCTTCTAAAGTTCTTTGCAGATAATGCCACCAAACTATGTATGTGCTTTCAAGTAAGAACCTCAGAAGCAAGGAGAGAAAAAAGCTTTCATGCTGCATGTCATTTTCATAAACAAGAAGCCCATAGGTCACAGTGTTCACCTGAGTCAATATGACCCTGCTGCTCTTCATCAGCAGATTTTTTCTCCTATGATATATTCTTATGTATTCTATTGCTAAGAAACAGGAGGCCCAAAGGCCGCAATGCTCACCCAAGTCAAAATTGCTCTTCTGTTCTTCATCAGCAGATTTTGCCTATGTTATCCTTCATAATCAATGAGTCATTGGCAGGGTTCGATACTAACTTTTAAAACATATTATTATTTTTGGGAGTTGATTTTATCAACTCTCTCTATACACTTTCACAGAACAAACAGTGTTTCGACCTAATCTCTCCTTTGAGAGAAAAATCATCAATGGAAAGTTATCTCCGCTGACAAGAAATAGTACATCAAAATGATCAAGAAATTTAATGAAATCCACAATCTGTTCTTTATCAAGAACAGTAAAATAAAAATAATGTTCTCAACAACATGCATACTTTTGATTTTTTTTGATTTTTCATTTTTTCCGTCGACAATTCCATTGTAAACCGGAAGTTGTTTAATTATAGCGATTTTTTTTCATTTTCTAATGAATGTAATTGTTCATTTTAGAGATTTAAAGAATGCGTAGCATCTTAATATTTCCATCAGAAGTACGGTTCGTTCAAACTGGAAGTTGTCTAAAAATGTGTATTTTCTATCGAAACTTTCAGGGATGATTATTGTATGCTTGATGTAGAGTTGGAAGTCGTTTTGAGCACATACGGTCGTACCGGAAGTGAATAAGAAGAACCGGAAGTTGATTGGATCTAAACGTATTTTGAAGAATTCTTGTGCCTTTTTAACATTTTTATCCTATCAATGGGATTATCCCAACACAGGTCTTATTCCATCAGATATCGGACGGAAGACCTACTCGTTGTCTGCAAGGAGATCGCATCTAGTTATTAATTTTTTCCCTTTTCTTGTGAGACGGATTTCTCAGAGATGGCTGAACGGATTTTCTTGAAATTTTCAGGGATGATAGAGAATGAGAATACGCTCAAACATTTTTTTTCATATTTTCAAAATTCACTTCCGGTCGTCAGATATGTCCGATTTCCGATTTCTTTTTTTTTCAAAAAGATTTTATCCGAGTCATATCTCAGAAACGGTAAGAGATGAAGACACCAGACTTATATGAATAATAGATCATGATAAGTAGGCGAGCCCATTTTGTTTAAAATCGTCCGCCGTCACTTCCGGTCGTCACAGGAAGTGATCATAAATATAAAAAATTTAAACTTTTCTGTTTTGAAATTTTGTTGACATCACAACATAGCATCTTATTTGTAGTTTCGAAATATGTCAGTCCCGCCGGAAACAAAAACGGTAACTTCCAGTCATAAGAGAAAACTACATAATTTGAATATTTTTCTTTCCCATAAATATCTTTTATAGATAAAGCATTTGGATATTTTTGGATATGTTATTCACACTGCAAATATCTACATTAACATCTAATATCTTTGTAAAATTCACTTCCGGAGGCATGATTTCTTGTCCTCAAAATGAGAAGTTATTATAGCGAGATCTCAAAACCGATAAGAGATTAAGACACCAAACTTATAGCAGTAATAGATCTTGATAAGTAGGCAAACCCATTTGAGTTAAGGTCGTCCGCCGTCACTTCCGGTCGTCACAGGAAGTGATAAAAAAATGGAAATTTCAAATTTTCTTTGTTGAATCCGTTTTGGCATCACATTATTGCATCTTATTTGTTTCTTCGAAATATGTCAGTCCAACTGGAATAAAAAACGACAACTTCCGGTTGTAAGAGATAAACAGCGTAAATTGAGTAATTAACTCTCCCATAAATATCTGTTATAGATAGAGTATTTGATAAGATTTTTAGATATATTATTCAGACTGCAAATGTCTAGAGTAACGTCAAATATCCTTTTAAAATTTACTTCCGGTTGCACGATTACCTGTTCTCAAAATAAAAATTACCATAGCGAGATCTCGGAAACAGTAAGAGATCAAGAAACCAAACTTATATGAAGAATAAACCTAGAGGAGTAGGAAAAAGATATAGGGTAAAATGCGGCAGTCGTCACTTCCGGTTGTCACAGGAAGTGATAAGAAAATATCAAAAGTTTTAACTTTTCTGTTTAAAATTAAAACTTACTTCACATCAGTGACTCTCTTTTGTTCTTTTGAAATATGTTAAATTCCACCGGAAATAAAAACGTCAACTTCCGGTTTAAAGAGATAAACATTTTTATTTCGATGTTTAACTTTCCCATAAATATCACTTATGAATAAAGTATTTAAAATGTTTTAGATATCTTATTGTTATTCAGACTGCACTGTCTAGAAAAAATGCCACATATCTTCGTAAAATTCACTTCCGGCGCGTGTTTCATGTCCTCAAAATGAGAAGATATGTGACCGAGATCTTGGAAACAGCAAGAGATTAAGACACAAAACCTACCTGAGTGATAGACCTTGAAGAGGTAGCGAAACATACAGGAGTAAACGCATCATTCGTCACTTCCGGTCGTCACAGAAAGTCATCAATGAAATAAAATAAATAAACTTTTCTTTCTTAAATCATAACTGACATTACTTTATTGCATTTCTTTCGTGTTTTTTAAATATGCTAGATTCCACTGGAAAAAAGAAAACATCAACTTCCTGTTTAAGAGAAAACTAAGTTTTTTCAATGTTAAACTTTCCAATTAATTATTGCTTATAGATTAGATAAGCTATTTAAAATGTTTTTATATAATTATGTTGTAGATACCACAAATGTCTAGAGAAATGTTAGAGAATTCCGGTAGTGTTTTTTCCTGTCCTCAGATTTGAATTTGTTCTCACAATGGCCCAGTAACAGTAAATGACTAAAATATAAAACTTTCAGGACTGATAGACAGTCATCAATTTATTTACATCATTTGAAAATCGTGTGTGGTCATTACTTCCGGTCGAGACAGGACGTGATGTAAAAAAGTGATTTTGAAAAGTATTTTTGTTTCTACACAAGTTTTAAGCAAACACCAAATTAAGAAAAGACAAACAACAGGAAGTAGTTAAACGGAAGCCCTTCTCATTACTCGTAATGAGTTTCTAGTTATTCGTTTTTTCTTCTACTCCCTAAACGCCAACTTTGAAGCCTCGTATCTCACTCATTTCTCAATGGATTTCGCTCAACTTTTTAGAGTTTATAGACGTTACTAAACTCTATCAGAATGTTGTCTAACATTTCAAAAAATCACTTCCGCTTTTGAGTTATTTACCTTTAAACGAAAATTTATAAAGTAAATTGAGAAAAATAAAATATGTTGATGGATATATGAAACATATTGTTTTGTGTGCTTAGTTGATCTAATGTTGCCCATTTAGACAATCACAAGAGCACATGTGCTCTAGGAGTTTTAACTCAGATCAACACAATGTAATCATTTTTATGCTACCCATCAGACCCTCCCCCAGCCTCAGTGTTCGAGTTAAAGCCTAAGTATTTTAAAAGTTATTTCTCAGTAAGTAAATATTAGTCCATCCTGACCCAAACTAGCCTGGGTGAAGTCTCTAGGGATGGACACTAGTTTATTTTGATTTTGGTTCTGACACGTACATTTTCGAGATAAGTTTTTTTTGGGAATAGCTCTTTAATTATGTGACTTGTTCTGATTAAACCTTTATGGATGATGCAAATAGGGATGGACGATAATAGGGCTGTGTATTGAGCCAAGAATTTCGATACGATACGATATGCAAAGCCCATACTTTAACAAAGATTGACGTAGATGCATCGTTACCCTATTGCAAAGGTAATGATAGAGACAAATTGAAGGTAACTTAAATCAAAGTTTAAAGATAGTATGTTGGCTATAACTGTGTGTGTTTTCTGACTGGTACTCACTACTTCAACCAAATGGTGGTAGAAAGGGTTTACAATCACCAAGGTTAGTGAAAAAGGCCTTCCACATCGAAAAAGAGACCAAAAGTATTTAAACTATTTCGCCTTAACTCTTAAGATTAGACGAGAAGAGACTAATTATATAATCATTGATGAAAATACATGTAAGCGCAGGTAAGTCCTCTTCTTTGATATTTGTCAGAAATTTAAGGAGACCAGTACTCCTTTGGATGGTGCCGTGGGTACAGTGCTCCATTCATGCTCCTTATGATCTGCTTTGGCAAACTTACCACAAATAAATTCATCGCAATCCTCACATAACATATCAATAGGTAAATCATGCGTTTTACACATTTCAATATGCCCTTTAGGAGAGCCCAGTGGATATTTGGGTTTACTGGCGGCCATGTTTGTTGAATGTCTCCTACCTATGACCTAGATTTAAGGTACAGGTAAGATAACTATGCACTGTGAAGTGATTTGGACTTTAATCCTATATTCTATATGTTTATTCACCAATCAAGGGCCCTCGGGGGGCATGGACAAATTATTACAATATGATTACACTGATTACAATTGCATATTATAGATGTATAATGTAATATGACTAGTGATTAAGTTTGACATTGAGAAGTGCAATACCACAAGAAGTATCATCATGAAAATGTAGGATTTGTTACATATTCACAGTACAGTCTCACACTGGATCAAAGTATAGAAAACCATAGGATGATAAAAAAAACAATTAAATAAAAATAATAAATACAAGATAAATAATAATAATAAAAAAATTTTGTAATAAAGTACTCTAATGTATAACTCATATAATATATAAATCATATTACATGATATGCACAGTGAACAAACAAGTGTGTACAAACAGTTGATAATATAAAATGGTAACTTTAAAGTAGGTGTATTCATGTGTAACTACATTTAATTTTGAAAATTTATTCAGCATTTTATGCATAAGTTCAGAGGCATGCATCTTTTCTGGCAAAAGGGGTTTTTGTCCCCTTCTAAAGTTCTTTCCAGATAATGCCACCAAACTATGTACTTTCAAGTAAGACCCTCTGAAACAAGGAGAGAAAAAACTTTCATGCTGCATGTCATTTTCAAAAACAAGAGGCCCATACGCCACAATGTTCACCTTGTTGATATGACCCTGCTGTTCTTCATCAACAGATTTTTTTTCTCCATATATTTCTTTCTCTATATACACGCATTCCCATGTATGCTATTGCTAAGAAACAGGAGGCCCAAAGGCTGCAATGCTCACCCAAGTCAAAATGGCTCTTCTGTTCTATATCAGCAGATTTTCCCCTATGTTATCCTTCTTTATCATTTAGTCATTGGAGGTAAAAAAGTAGCATTGGTAAAAGAAGACCATATTGCTGATACCCGGACTTCTATTTTATGATTTTATTGGAAGGGAGGTTAATTTTGTTTGTTGTCTGTGTTAGTCCCTCAGAAAAAAAAAACTTAGATTAGACAAGAATTTCCAATACTTTAAGGTTTTCATATGAAGAATGCCTTTTAATTGGCAAATTTATAAAAGAATGTTTCTTTCTTGTAGATTGAAGTAAATGGAAAGACAAAAACTAAAGGTACAATTAATACAGATATACAAAGTGGCAATAATTTGAAACGGGATAAAAAGTACGTTGTAATTTATTTTGGTTTTTTTTTTTGGGGGGGGGGGGAGGGGGGAGGAAATGCATTTCTAAGTTTAGAAATATTGTCATAAACCTGTAATGTTTTACTTTTGAAGATTTAGATGTTTTATTTTTTTGCAGTATAGATTAGTATTAAAGATTATCTTTTGCACTAAATTTTCGTTTTCATTTATTTTTAGACCTGCCAATTCATCTTCAGCGGATGATGCAGTTAGTGTACGTGTAGAAATCTCTAAGTTTATATGGGTTTCTGAAGACATTAAATTCTACTTTATTAAAATAATAACAGTTTTAATTAGAATTAAGATATTTCAGTTCACTTTATTAACATATTAACAATTGAACAGAGATGATGAAATTAGATTTTCACTGACAAGAGCATTATAGCATGATAAAAGGAGAGAAAAGTACATAGATAAAATTAGATACGAGATCATTTTTATTGAATAATCAATCAAACAAGGAAAAGTGTTCATATTATTTCCCGTTCTAAATGGCTTTATAAAACAATCAATGATGCCAAATTTTAAATGATATATCAGGGTTTTGATCCTAATTCAGCATTTTTTACTAAAGTCATTAATAAGAAAAAGAAACCTACCTTTGGAAGTGAATCGGGTGGAAAAAGAAAGAGAGATCTAGACATGGCAGTGACGATGAAACAGAAGATTTAGACCCCGTCGTTTTACGTAGTAGACAGTTAGCAAGTAAGACTTAGACCCTGTTGTTTTACGTAGTAGACAGTTAGGAAGAAGCGATAAAAAAGCATTCCACAGTACAGGCTGCTCTGGATTCACTTCTGGCAGGTGTTGGTATATGTACAGTTAATAAATCCATGTTGATTTTTGTAATTTAATATTACAGGTGTCAGGTATGTCAAGTTACTCAAAAAATAAGCTTGAAAAGCCATGGTAGATTTCCATAAAGCAATCTTTTTGTGTTTTGTGTATTTATACCGTGATTCATATTGAAAAATATCTTACTTCTGTTCCTTGTTGATTTTAAGAGATTTCAGATCTTTTAAAATCTAAATCTTGATTCGAACCAGTGTTTCAGGTTGTACATGTACGATGACAAATTTATTTGTTCTTGTTTTAGCGGAGAATGCTCTGGGCGGTGAAGTTTACGTTTCTGATGACGATTCTGGTTTTACGACTTCATCCCTCCCCAAACCCCAAGCTCAAAAGGACGTCACAAAGATGGAGTAAGATTGTTAAAGCTGTAGTATTTGTTTTTATCATCTAACCCCAGGCATACAGCACTTATTTCATTTAAATTTGTAATTTTGTTGTTTATTAAATTTTTAGCCCACGTAATCCGAAGGGACTAACAGCTCTATGGGTCGGAAATGTTTTACCAGATAAAGTAGATGATAAAAACTTTTGAAAATCTTTTCTAGGTAAGAAATTTGAAATAGTTCAACAGATATAAAGTTATTTAATTAAACTTCTAAGGGCTCGATTGAAATCTTTGAGAGTTTTTTGAAAAAAGCGAATTTAAATCTGAATTCTTACAATTTTCTGAAACTAGTTTAAATGCACTTGACGGAATAGGCAAGCTTCCGCTTTTCTAAAAACAAATTCTATGCTCATTTAACGAATGTTAAAAATGTGTAACTTCGAAAATACATCACCTAATGATATTTTAAAACAACCCATTTGGAATAACAGCAATATCAAAATAAAAGGAGAAACATTATTTTTCAACAACTGGTTCAACTGTAATATTCTCTATTTAAAAGATCTAATAGATGATAACGGGAACATGAAAACTCTACAAATGCTTTCCACTGTTATTAAAAGGAAGTCGAACTGGCTTTGTGAATATAAAACTTTATTGTCAGCAATTAAACCATTGTGTAAAAAATGTGACGTATCTAATGCCAAATATTTAAACATAAAGAATGAAATGAGATTTCATTCCGCAACAGGGGTATCAAATCTAAATGGTAAGAAATGCCAATTTTTAAAAATAAAATTTTAATACATAAGAAATTCGTTAAACCGTGTTATCAAATTAAACTTTCTCTAGACTTTTCAATTCCTGCAAACGACTCAAATCTATGGCAAAATATATACATGAGAAAAATTAAAGATATAAATGATAATAAAGTTGCTGAATTTAATTATAAAATGCTTCATAATATTCTCTGCAACAATACTTATTTAAGTAAATTGATAAAGGACAAGGGGGGCAACTGTACGTTATTCAAAACAACTGAAACCACAAAACATTTACTTTTTTAATGTAAAATCGTTGAACAGATTTGGAAAAAAACTAGGAATCTTTTTATCTATGGATATAAAATGAAAACACATTGTTCTGTGCTTTTATCTAGAAAAAAAACACGATAAGATTGAATCTTTGAATTTATTTATATCTTTTATTGCGTATAAAATATATAAATACAATATGTATTGTAGAATTGAATCTCTGAAAGAAACTGAAATAGATTTGTTAAAAAATGTTCAAAATGCACTTATTCAATATTCTTTACGTCTTATGAAATTTGATAAACAACATACTTTTTCAAAATTTGCAGACACATTAAGAATATGATGTACATGCTTTTTTTTGTTGTTGTTTTTGTTTTTTTTTAGCTAACCTCGACGAAGTGGAGATGAGCTTATGCTAAACCCCGATGTTGACGTCGGCGTTAGCGTCTGCGTCCCAAGTAACTATAAGCCCTACCTGAACCAAAATTGCATGGATGATGCATTTAGGGATGGACACTACCAGACTTGGTTCGGATGCTGGATCTGACCTACATTTTTCAGATGAGTGACCAGGTTAGAGTTTTTGGAGCAGGTCCATTCCCAAGGTACTATAAGCCCTACCCAGACCAAACTTGCACGGATGATGCATCTAGGGATGGACACTACCAGACTAGCTTCGGATGTTGGATCTGACCTACATTTTCATTGCCAAGTAACTATAAGACCTACCCGGACCAAAACTTGCATGTATGATGCATCTAGGAATGGACACTACTAGACTTGCTTCGGATGCTGGATCTGACATGCATATTCATTCCGAAGGAACTATAAGCCCTACTTGAACCAAACTTGCATATATGATGTATCTAGGGATGAACACTTCCAGACTTGCTTCGGATGCTGGATTTGACCTATATTTTCATTCCCAGGTAACTATAAGCCCTAGCTAAACCAAACTTGCATGGATGATGTATCTAGGGATGGACACTACCAGACTTGTTTCGGATGCTGGATCTGACCTATAATTTCATTCCCAAGTAACTATAAGCCCTACCTGAACCAAACTTGCATTGATGATGTATCTAGGTATGGGCACTACCAGACTTGCTTCGGATGCTGGATCTGACCTATATTTTCCATACAAAAGACCAGGTTAAAGTTTTGGGAACAGATCAATCCCATTGAACTTAAACTCCTAAATCTGCAATATTTACAAAGTTATGAATATTTATTTACACTATACATGTTTTTCATGCTACAGGCATAGAAATGTGTATATATGCCATGTAAGGGGTTAAACACAACTTGTAAGAATGTTGTTTTTGGATAAATACTAAATATTAAGAAAATATGATGTGAGATTTGCATTACTTACATTGATAACATTCGTCGAGGTGAGCTTTGTAATCTTTGATTACCTATGTTTTTTTTTCAATTAATCAGCTACTTTAAGAGAACAGTCTCAAGTCACATCGTCCACTGGGGAGTGTTTGGACTCTTTGTGGTTATAGGACCCCAGTGGACCATAATTGCTAGTTCAACTCGGTTTCAGTATATATTTTGTATATTTATACTCTGCAACACTTTGTCTTAAAAAAAACAACATTATTCCATTATATGTATATACATATAAAAAATGTTACAATCGATAAAAAAACAGCGAATTTACTTATTACCTTTGTAATAACTTGACATAAATATGTAAACAATTGATGTATTCAACAACATTAAGATAATCATGTTTCTCTATTATTATTTTTGTACTGTTTATGTATTGTTGTTATTTATAAAAATCCTGAATAAAATCTTATTACACAAAAAAAAAATTAATGAATGTATGAAAGGATCATCTGTTCTGTTTCTTGTTAAGATATTCTGTTATTCTTAAGCTTTGCAATTATCATTAAAATAAATGAACTTTATACTTAAAAGTATTGCCTATTCATGAAACACACTTGTTCTCCGAGTTTGTTGAAATAAGTTTTTCTTGCCATACTTTAATCCACTAACTGAATCTTTTTTTTCAGATACTATAGTATGGATCTGTGAATAGTGTGCGGACTCTACCAGAAAAATTCTGTGCTTTTGTAAATTTGAAAACAAAGGAGGCTGCAGGGAAAGCCATGCAAAGTTTACAGGTGAATTTCCCTCATTTCTCTTGTAAGAGTGATCCGTTTACGGGTGAATTTCCCCCATTTTTATTGTAAGGGTGATCAGTTTACGGGTGAATTTCTCCTTTTTCCCTGAAAAAAGTGCTCAATTTGTAGGTGAAATTCATACAGTTCTATGGTGTTAAAAAATGAGTTTACAGGTGAATATCCACATTTCTCTGGTGAAGTTGATCAGTTTTCCTGTGCATATATGTAAAAGTTTAGGAAAATTGGTGAAACCTTTTATGTATGGAAGTGGTACTTTCTCATGCAAACTCATATTTTATACAAAGTCTAATTGAAAGTGATAAAAGTCCATCATGAACAACTCAGAAAAAATGTCTCACTTTTCAGTGTTAATGTTTAAAGAAGGTCTCTTCTCTAGAAACTTAATGTTAATTATTAATTTCAATTAATTTAGGGGGCAGAGTGTGGAGGCCAGAAGTTACTGATAAAGTTCCCTGACAACCCCATAGTAAATAGTGGTACACTTACAATATGGAAAACGCCTCGTACCAGTAGCCCTCAGCAGAGACAGACCTTTGTAGGGTGAGTCATTACAGAGGGGGGATATATACTCAACTAAAAAATAAGGTTATAGAGGCTTAAAGAGGGGGAGGGGCATATAGACTCAACCAAACAATAGCTAGGGTTATACATGTGTATACTGTATTTTATTCTAGAGAGGTATATGTTAGCTTTTGATTCAAAACCCAAATCAAATACATGTATATTATTTGATATATTTAATTTTTTCTCAGCTCTTTATGCATGCATACACATTCAGAAAACAGTTAAATGTTGGCATCTCAAAAATTGATGCCTTGAATACCATCAATATGTTAAAAGTAATTCTTCCAACTTGCTTCGTGGTATTCATTACATTGAGGTTTGATATACAAATGTTTATCTTTGTATCAAATATAAGGCTCATTGTTCTAGTCCTGAGGAATTTAGATGTAGATTTTAAGTGTGTCCATATCACTTTGTTGTCACAGTACATGGATAGTATATATAATCCTGCTGAAACACTGCCCTCCTACTATTTCCCTGTGTAAAACCAGGACGTGCATGATTTCGTAGCCAGATCATTTTGCATCATTTAATTCAATTAGTTGTGGTGGAAGTTTATCGAATTTAAGAGATTAAATATGGTAATATTTATAAAAATGACATAATTTAAAGTCATTTGAATAAATTGTGTCTTTTATTATCCTTTCATTCAAAATCTGCATCATTGCTTTCTGATTGCAATAAATTATTAAAGGTAATATGTAGAGATTAGGGTTGGGTTAGGGGTCAAAAGGATTTTCACATGCACACGTCCAGGAATTGAATTGACAACTTTGAAGAGTGCAAAAACAGGAAATTCCTAATCAAAGCTGAATTTCATTAGATTTTAATGCGTTATTTCAAAGGAAAAGTTTGATTGCATCATAAGCAATAAATGTTTATGATTCTTACATAGTCACTGTCATCCTCAGTCAAGACAGGGTTGTCATTACCTTGTCAACTTGTTATTCTTTCCAGTGACTTCAAAATATAGGAATCATTTTGCTTTATATGGTTTTCTATAATACTTCATTTTACATGTATCTGGGCTTGGAGATTCCATAAGTTGTTAAGACTTTAATTCAGAAAGTATTGATTTGTCATCATCATGCAGTCTCCATCAGGAGCTACTCACAGCTGAATAGTAAAGAATACAAAATCTCAGTCCAATACTGTGGAATCATCATTGTTCGTGGGGGACCAATGTTCGTGGGTAACCCTGACCCACGAATTTACATCCCCACGAACGTATATACAAACATATTTTTATTATTTGTTAAAAGTTGCGATTACACAGACTATTTTATATCGTAAAATAACCGTTTCCCTTGTGTACGTGTGATCGCACATAAAGAAGACAATTTGTATTTGGTTATTGACACAAAACCAAAATTTAAAAAAAAATATTATAAGTATCAAAGGCATCGATAACCACAATCTATTTAAAATTAAATGTTAGATCCGCTCGCATACTAGCTACACTATCTACATTATAGTCCATCACGCTCAAATGACCCTTTGATGAGGTCAATTTTCAGTGTGATTTTGAAATGGGTGCTAATTAGCTTTATACTGTGACATCAAGGCTGTTCTTTGTTGGTGCAAGCCACCGGTATATATTTGTGTTCACAAGAGAGATAACTTAAATAAGCAACATTGACGGGGCTATCCTTCTTTATTTTTGATTCCACAGTATTATTTTACGATAAGATTTACTGTAAATTCACATATTTTCGCGGATTAAAATTTTTGTTGTTTGAGGAAAATATATTGGTTCATGGGGATTTGATTTCGTGGTTGAAGAATTGTTCATTAGTAATATATGAGAAAAATTGCATTTCGTGGTGGACATTCAAAACCATGAAAATTAAACCCCCACAAGAATTAGTGATTTCACAGTATTGTGACAATAGTGTGCCATAAAGAAGTAATCAAGAATGCAAAAAGAAAGCAAATTATGGAATTGATGACTTACTATTTACCTCAGTACTTTGAGATTCTGGAATTTGTGACTACCATTAGCAATAGGATCAAAGATTAAGGTAGTCATTGGCATGCTAAGGGTGATATGATAAAAAGGTCCAAACTTGCACATTTTTAAATCCCTTTTTTAAGAATCACTTCTAAGTTT